CCCTGCGAAAGCAGATGTGCGCCGGTAGCGTGAGGAGGGAAGCTCAGCTCAGCGGGGAGCGAGGACCTGCCGGTCGGGTTGGGGCCGGGAAGCAGGGGAAGCGCCCGGGAGCTGGCCTGACAGCTACCGAGAGCCCCCAGTTGGGCGAAGGGATGGGACCGGGGAGGGGGAGAGCACAGCTCTCCGCCGGCCTCTGACCCTCAGCTCCCTTCCACAGAAGTTGGGGTGTCACAGCGGGAGGCAGCTAGCGCAGCGCCGGCACGTCTCGCCTCGGTGCTCCCAGCCCTTCTCCTTGACGCCCGAGGGACACGGTTTGCCTCGGAATCTGCTGCTCCGTTACCCATTTTTATACGTCTTTTAGCAGTACGGCATGGGAGTTACATTAAAGCAGAAAAATTGGGGATTTTTTGTACCTACGAACAAGACGTAGGCATTTTTTGTTGCGGCTGAGAAGTGAATTAAAAGCAGAATTAAAAAGAGCAACAGTCACTTTCACCTATTTTATGCATGGATATGTTTATGTCTACGTGTCTTTTTTATATATAACGTTGGTGAAAGTTTGAGGCTCCCCATGCTATAAAGAATTAAGGAAATCAAAATGAGCAAAACGGTTTCAGTTCTTCTTGCTCTGCATGCAAGCAATTTAAAACTACACACACATATGATTTGAGCCTATTGCTAACTGCAACAATTAAAAGTGCGCTGTTTGCATACTTCTGCAGCTTTTTTGCATGGTATCAAGTACACCTTTCAGGTCATCACTCTTATGTGTAGTAACAGTCCTGGTCTTCTCTCTTGCATGTGTTTCTTTCTGACATTTTCCAGTTAGCAGAATCTTCCCCAGTCTCGCTTTCCTTGCCTGTACAGAGATATTACTAAGGTTTTTTTTAAAGAAAAGTGTTACTAAAATATTTTTTGCGTTTAAGATTGATTATAACTTTCTTTTAGGCATTATCCCCTAGTGCTTAATCAAGTTGTGAGAATGTCTCTGTCTTTTTCTTAAAAAATAAATAAAATTGGCATCCATTTTCACCTGTTAGAGGTCAGTAGGACTTGATACTCAGTCTTATAATTTTAGTCCCTCTGTGCAAGGTTGTTTTGATGTGTTGCAAGTAATTTATATAAAGAAAAATATTTTAACATTGACATTAGCTACATCAAAAGGCAAATTTGCTGTAGTGACTCCATCAATTAAAAAGTACTTGCCTACAGTAACATGACCTTGCAAATGACATCGATAGTTAATATGATCGTTAGTCATTAACAGTATTATTATATTCAAAAATGTAAATTTGTTGCCAGAATCAACATATTTACCGCTTTGCATGCTTTATTCTTTAGTGTTTTCACATCTTGTATAAAGTGGTCAATTAATTTTCATCCTTTAATCTTGTACAGAATTATTTTTGATTTGCTTAGTTTGGTCAAATGGACCTAAGGAAAATATAAGTTGGTTTTTATTTTGTTTTGTTTTCTTTTAGCAAATTTATCTTTAATTCTAGAGTAACAGAATATAAACTACTGAAGTCTGATGGAAGTAGTCTCTGGAGTGTACTCATTATTCAAATATACCAATAATCAGAAAAAAAGTCTCATACTTATCCCACAAATTTAAACTGAAGGTTTTGCATATGACGAAGACTTGGTAAGGAATAAACCTCGTTAATACATTTTTGTTTTCTTCTAGATTTGTCGGCATTAATGCATCTGACATAAACTACTCAGCTGGTCGATATGATGCCTCAGTTAAACCCCCGTTTGATATAGGTTTTGAAGGTGTCGGTGAAGTGGTAGCATTAGGACTCAGTGCTAGTGCTGATTACACAGTGGGTCAAGCTGTGGCCTACGTGAAAGCAGGTTCCTTTGCTGAATACACAGTTGTGCCTGCCAAACAAGCGGTTCCTCTACCCTCTGTGAAACCCGAGTTTCTTACTTTAATGGTAAGTGGCGCTACTGCATACATCAGTTTGAAAGAGCTGGGAGAGCTGTCTGAAGGCAAGAAGGTTCTGGTGACAGCAGCGGCTGGAGGAACAGGCCAGTTCGCTGTGCAGCTTGCAAAGAAGGCAGAATGCCATGTAATTGGAACCTGCTCCAGTGATGAAAAGGGTGGTTTTCTGAAATCCATTGGCTGCGACCGTACGATCAACTATAAAACTGAAAATGTTGAATCTGTTCTTAGGAAAGACTACCCCGAAGGTGTGGATATAGTGTATGAATCTGTTGGGGGAAAGATGTTTGACTTGGCTCTTAACTGCTTGGCTACCAAAGGGTGCCTGATAGTTATTGGGTTTATCGCTGGCTACCAAAACCCTACTGGCCTCCAGCCCATTAAAGCGGAGTTATTGCCAGCAAAACTATTGAAGAAATCTGCCAGCGTCCGGGGTTTCTTCTTGAACCATTACCTTTCCAAATACAAAATGGCTCTGAAGCACTTGCTCGAGATGTATGAAAGAGGAGACCTGGTTTGTGAGGTGGACTTTGGAGACATGTCTCCAGAGGGCAAGTTCACTGGCTTGGAGTCTGTATTCCGTGCTGTAGATTACATGTACATGGGAAAAAACATTGGAAAAATTGTAGTTGAATTACCTCACTCTGTCAACAGTAAGCTGTAAAAACAGAACAATGATATAAATCAGAAGAGAGAAAATGGGCACTTTATGCCTCAGAATTACTAGAAACAATTTCTTTTTTTAAGCTTAGTAATGGATATTATATTAAAAAACAGCATTAAGGTGTTAATAAGAAGTTTTGTGTTCTTTTCTTTTCTTTTCTTTTCTTTTCTTTTCTTTTCTTTTCTTTTCTTTTCTTTTCTCTTTTCTAAGTGCTTAAATTGGTGGCTGTAGCATGGACTTAATGGGCCTGTGTTTGATTCTGTCGCTTAGGCTAGCGTGAGACAAGAACGTTGTTCTTGACAGAGTAAGTCTTGACGCACAGGCAGATTTAGTCTGTCAGATTGGTTTGATAATACTTTATATATAGTTCAGCATAGAAAAAAAAAATCTTTCAGCAATTTTGATTCCCTGATTTAAAAATAAAATTGTTAGAACAAGATGAAGTAAAGAGTTGTATCTTGTGCTTGCTCTATTAATCTCTTGGAGTTTCTGAAAAAAATTATGCTCTTCATTTTTTGTCACAAACATGATAATCGTAATTCAGTTGCATCATGGATCATAATAATATTCCTTTACTGGTTACACAGGGAACATTTATCCTCCAATTCTGACATGTCAGGAATATGAAGAAAAGCAACTTGACTTTTTTTTTAATTATGTCTTTCGTAACTATAAACAACTGTGCAATTTTCTTTTAAATCTTTAACTACAAGTTGCAACATAATCTCATTTTCTTGCCTTTTCATTTGCTTCTGTTACTGTTCACTGTCCGGTCTCCCCTCCAGTCAGTGTTGTTACAAAATTATTGGGGTGGGGTTTTGAGCCATGTTCATGCGTGTTCAGGTCTTTTGAAGTGTTTTGAAGATTTAATAAAGTTAAAAAAGCTATTTAAATATTTGTGGCATTTATTCATATTGATATGGTTCTTGCTGACTAGCTCCTCTGTAGATAATCTCTGTGTTGTAGAGTTCTTTGACCGATGATTCCTGTTGTGACTTCCCATAACCAGACTACTGCTTCTACTTTTACTGAATATTGCTTCTGCAGAAGCCCTTTTACAAACAGCAAGACCATTTTAAATCTACAGTCACAATACCTCACACACGTACTGACGCTCAGCCATAGATTGTGTAGTGGGTGCAGTTAAAAGGTTTTGTAAAGTTTTGAAAATTTTTCCTCACTTAATAGATATTATTAATGGTACATACAGTGGGAATTCCAGCTAGAAGTGTAATATTTTCCAGAACAATAAAATACTTTAAGTATGCTTGCTCTACATCTTTTTTCCATAGCAAACGTTTCAGATCTTAAAGGCTGATTTTGCCACATCTTTTGAAATTATATACGTTTGTATGCAGTTGGAGACATGGAAAGTTCCTAAGATCATACACCTAATAATAAACGTAATGATAGACTGGTAATGGCTAGGGGTTGAAGGAAAAAATCCAGGGTAAACTCGATTTTTGGGCATTATTCAGGACTGATTGCACATGATATTTTTAAAAGTAACATAGGAGAACCTTGTATTTTACTCCATAGTACAGGCAGTAGAAAGAGTATTTTTAACTTTGATTTAGCACATTTTAATTATAAATTTTTTAGTGTATATGTCATTAGCATCCTAAAGAATCGTATGCAACAAAGAACTGTCCCTTTTTTGGGCCATGTCGGACTACTGGGTTTAGTCTCACTTTGGAGGATTTTGAGGAAAGGCAGAACGGCTTGAGTCTTTGTCAAGCTGAGCGTCAAACCGTTATGATTTTTGTTTTCATCACTATCTGCTGTTAGAAACATACATCCTATTTCCCCTCTAATATTATAAATATTGTGGTGTTTTGTGTGTTTTGCATAATTAGAAAGGTATATTGGCCTTCCACCTGTATGCTAGAAAGATGCAAACACTCAAGTACCATACAAGATCAGACCATACAAAGTTCTCACTATTTTATTCCTAGGCACATGGTTTCTTTTCCTGTTCAGAGTAAAGGCAATGCCCTTGGGCAATAAATGCATCTTAAAAAAAAAAAAAAAAAAGCAAAAAAAAAAGCTGTTTGGGATGTACTAGGGCAAAATAATAATACAATTAGTTACATCTGTGATATGTGCAGAAGAATCACATGGGTCACAATTTTCCAAATTAAGTTCCTGCAGTTAAATGCCAAAACCCATCCAAGTGGCTCAGTTTTCATAGGTGTTGATCACTGTCAGTGCAATAGATTTAGCTATTTCCGAGGCAGGGAGTTCCAAATGTTTTTGTCATAAAAAATTCTTCTTGTAACAGGATTCAGTTTAGACATACAGCATTCTTCTTTCTTTTTAATATGTTACTTCATATCTAACATTGAGTAATGCAACTGCCCCAGGCTCTTTCACTAATCAAAATAAGGGAAGAGAGGAACCTTTGGAAGGTTCACACATATATATGTATTCAAATATGACATTTTGTTGGTTTTAATTTTGACTCCAGGCTTATTATTTAGCACTTTCATACTGCTTACAATGTTAATAAAAAGTTTAAATTTGTTATCTGCGGAACTTGTATGGCCAGTGTACTAATTTAGCGGCCCTTTTGGTGTTTGGATTGGGCTGTGACCATTGGGCTTGTCCTTTTCATCAAATGCCTACGTTAAGCTAAAGGGGTAACTCAGGGTATATGTGATTGCTCTTCCATGAATGAATCCAGAGTGAAGAAGGAATTTTTGTTTTAAAAGCTATAACTTCTATCATCTAGATTGCTGAAAGAAAGCGTTATCAACAGGGAGAGGGTGAAAAGTATTTCTGAAACACACAGATAAGGCTTTTCTGCTGAGATTCATAATAATTTTCTGTTTGCAAGGGGGGGGGGGGGGCGAAGCCAACTTCTCTTTATTTAAAAGTATGTTCTGCAAACTTACAGTTATGGGAGCAGGGCTGACTTTGAATAAGTAAGCTATGATGGATTTAAATAATGTTTAAATATTAGATGGATAGGAAAATGTATATGGCATGCACACACTGAGAGGTTTAAATGATGATAGGACATTGAACATACAAGGAAAAGAAATACTGTAGAGTCACAGCAAGGGATTAATAACAATACACTTAATATGCTTGCAAAAAAGGTGTATTAAAAGCTGTGTGCACAGTGGGGACTTAAATGATTAAAAATAATAATACATTTGCCTGGGAAGTACTAAGTATACTATATGTAGAGAGCAGGGATTTAAATAATAATACTATTAATAATAGCAGCTCGTTGAGATGTGGTTGCTAGCACTACATCCTAATTTTACCTTTCTAAATGAATTTGCTACAGAGGAATCTGGCATTGTTTGCTGAGGCTAATAACAGAATTTCCCGTTCCTACACACATATGCTTCCATGGAAAAACAACAAAGAACTAGATGAAGAGCTGGCTTTTTTCCTGAGTCTGTCACATGTGTGCGTACGCACGCGTACACGGACACACACGTACTCACTCTCTCCTGGCCTGCAACCCTCAGCACATTTTACAGATATGCTTCCTACTTAATTGCTATGCCGGAATCTCCTAATACCTTTTTGAATTAAGTTAGATTTCTACCAAGCAATAGTTTGCTACGTATTCGTACATGTGCATACGTCTGTGTGTATATAATGTATATATTTAATAAGTGGATATGAATAACTGCTGTGTCATGTAAATACAAATAATTACAGTCTCTCAAGGAAAAGTTTGCAGTAGTGTTTGCAGATATTATATATATTCCTACTTCTGTCTGAGGAGTAAAGAAATTTCTCTGCTGAATAGCTGTTAGTATCTATTTTACAAGATTTACTCATTTTCAGGTACCTAATGTAGCTGCTAGCATGCATGCACAACAATACAATTTATATGGTAAATGGAACCAAATAATGGCTTCACTGAATGTTATGGCTGCACTGAAGGGAAATGTCACGGTAAATAGCTGCCAAATTATGGATCATGCCGAAGTGTCACAACTGCACTAAAGACAAATAGCACTAGAGGCTATTGCCACTGTGACGCATTTGAGTTATGAAGAAGAGGAGCAGCCTGATGTGAGCCTCTTTGTGTCCTCATTATAGCAAAGGGTTACTGGTGCAGTGTACAAGAAAACCTAGTCCTATGTGGTGGCTAGTTATTAATCTGTTCTTCTTGAATCTAACAGCTGTAGCAAACCAGAAAATCTTTTCCTTGCTTTATGAATACGTATACGCACACACAAACAAAGAGAAACCTGCAGGTTTTATGAATGTAAATGTGTACGGGAAATGACTGGTAATGGAAAAATGTTGTAATAAAATAATCTAATCAAAGAATATTATTAAATTTAACATCGTATGTGTCTGAAAGCTTTAGTTGCTTCTTATGCAGATAGATGTGTGAAATATAAGCAATAATGCACTTTCTCTCTTTGTAAAGACTTGAGTAGTAAGGACATTACCAACTAAATTGCTTCTTCTAAACTGAAGTGTGTCCCGGTTTCTTTCATTTTAATGGGAGGGTAATAAAGATGAAAGACTAACATTTTAACTGATGGATCCCTTAAGCTACAGAAACGAAATTTATTATGTTTTGAGGGAATATGCTAAATCCTGAAATGTGGAAAGAAGCAGGGAAATCCCAGGTAAAATAAAAGCAAATTAACCTTTTTTTTTTTTTTTTTTAATATGACATGCTTTTATGAATGGAAAACTACATACTGCTCTTACCTAAGCTGAGAAAACAATATTGGTCTCTCTTTGGGGCAAAAAAAAGGGGGGGTGAGATATTTGGAGGGAAAAAAAAGATTTGAAAATGGAGGGCCATTGCTCAGCAAGTGGTCTCTTCTTTCTAGGATCACTTTTCAAACCCTGCCTGCAGTGTTCAGGGAAGTGAGTTTGACGCCCTGCACACTATTGTACACACCACAAACGTACCATCCATAATACAGCACAATTGTCAGTCGCTGTTTTACAGAGGGGCCAGGGCTGAACAATCATGGTGGATAAATTACTTTTCTGTTCTACAGCAAGTGGCCTTCCTACCATGTGAAGCTTAAGGTCATTGGCAGGGCAGCGAGGGGGAAGCTTATATATTAGTTAACTCTAATGCACTAATAGTGTTCAGATAGAGGAACTATACCAATTAATTACAGTTAGGTTTGTTCTTCAGGATGGGGGTGATGGCTTGAAG